TTCAAGTTTTCAACTTGACAGGCAATCGATCTGTGAGAAAATTAGATGCACCAGAGAAATAGAGAGGAAACACTGAAATCCAGAGGTTAACAAATAAAATATGAAAAGAATAAAATGCTGTATGCATGAAATTTAAAACCTCTCTTTAGGGCAGTTTCATAAATGTTAAGCCTTTAGCTTTTCTTTTTTTACTTTCTATAATTTTAAAGACCCATAGAAACCCTAACAAGTTGTAACAACTGTATGGAGTGAATATTGTTCCATCGTCTTCAAGCAAAGAACAGGATTTGTTTTTGTAAATGGAAATTAGAAAAAAATCCAATCCAGAATTGAAACATTGAAAAATGTTAACAACATAAGTTTAGAGTGTAACTTTGCAGTTTTATAAGGGTTATTTTTTCTTTTTTTTTTCAAATGTACTTTTTTAAATAAATGTTATTCTTGCAACTTTCTGCTTTTCATAAAAAAAAAAAACTAAAAACAATTTTTATAAAAAATAAAAATAAAAAATCAGCTTTTCCGATTGAGCTTTAATAATTTTATTCTTTTCAAATTACATTTAGCAGATTAGTCTCTTCACTGCTGGGGGCGGGCTTTCCTCTGGAGTAATGGTAGCCACATTTCTATTTCCCAAAGTGAGCCTTTGGGAAGAACAGAATGTTAGCTTTTAAAGACAATTTGGAAGATAGCATTTTGTAAACCTCAACCAAAAAACAAAACATTTGTAAAAAAAAAAAAATAATAATAAAAAAAAAAAAAAATATATATATATATATATATATATATATATATATATATATATATATATATATATATATATATAAAATCTGAAGAAAAAAATTACATGAAACCTAAGAAAACAGCAAAACCAAAATCCTTTAGATTGCTTTTTCTTTTAATTTCAATTTACAAAGTCCATTCTTTGCCTGCAACAACAAAGGAACAAATTCCCTCCATAAAACTGCCGTCACGACTGGCTGCGGTATAAAGGTCTTTAATCATTTCCAATATGCTGGTGAAGGTTCTCAGTCATGCAGGTCACAGTCATTCCAAAAAAAGAAAAATTAAAAACAATCCACTGGACTGTTTCAAATTTTTTCAAGACATTTCTCTTCCCATACAGGAATCTTTTTCAATTCAAAATGTCAGGAATAGCGTTGAGTTTGAGGTTTTCTACAGTAGCCCAACAAAGCCTTTTTTCTTTGAAAACATCCAAATTGAAACGGAAGATTGGGTCCATCTCTATGGAATGGGGCTCGTTTGGCTTCTTTTGTTAGCCTGCAATGCCCCATACCCGTCTAAGGCCCCGTCCACACGAAGATGAACCCTAGCCTAAACGCACAAATTTTTCACCAAACCAGCCTCTCATCCATACGAAGCCGGCGTTTCGGGGGTCTGTAAACGATCTTTTTTTTTTTTTCAGCCTTCAGAGTGGGAAGATTTTGAAACGCCGTTTTCGCGTTTCCATCTTTAAGCTCTAACCGCATTTTTTTTCTTACACGCATGCGTCATAGCGCCGCCTCTAAACACGCATGCGCAACACAGTATCACAACAACAATGGCGCCGTACTGTGTTGAATGGTTGCTGCTAATGCTACTCACCCTGCTGTCGGGCTTACAACAGAATATTCTTCTTCTGGAATATCTCCAGGAAGAACAGAGCAATATCGACGACATAGTTCAGCACCTGAATTTGACTGAACCACGAAAATGGACCCGCAGGGCAACCATGTATAAATATTAGTGCGCATGCCCAACATTTCGTCACCTATTTTTGCTTTGGCACCACAGCGCCACTTACAGGTCTGGCATACATTTTGCAGCGTTTTCATGCATTCTTGTGGACGATCACATTTATTTTACGTCTCCGTCTTTACGACAAACGTTCTGGAAAATATTAGTGTTTCGTGTTCGTTTTGACTTCGTGTGGACAGGGCCTAAGGGTCTGAAAGGGGGTCATTACAGGGCTGGCTGGAAAGGCGAGGTCCTCTGCTCTGCTGAAACATTGGGGGTGGGGCTGCAGTGATAGCGGGAAGGGATTAACTCAATTGCTGCATTGTAGGTTTTTGAAAGCTGAAACCTGAGTCCAACCCCTCTGTTTAAGGTTGCTTTTTCTTTCTCCAAGTCGTAGGGAAGTCATATTGAAATGTCCATATGACTGGCTTTATCAGACTATATTGTCCCAAAAGTTAGAAAATTTCTATAAAAAAAAAAAAAAAAAAATCCAGTCTTAAAATCAGTTTTTTTCCGTTATCTTATGCAGGCCGCTTAGTTATACGTCAGCCTGAACACCTAATTTCGGCCAATCATGTATCAACGATCATCTGTCAATCAAATTTTTCTGGTTATAGCATCTTGATTCATATGTAGCAGCTAATATACGCAACGGTTGAAATAAGAAATGAGAATCATTTCCTTTCCCATTGAGTTCCGTCCCAGTGTTCACGGGGATGGACGTCTGTGTCTTCAGCAGGCGTAGAGCTAACAGAACTGGCAGCATTGCGAGGCAAGGGCTCAAACATGTACGGCTGGAAGCCTTCTACACCAAACCAAGCTTCTGCCGCCCTGGCGTCCTCTTCCACAACATCTCCATCCCCGCTTTCCTCCTCTAAATAAAAAAATGGATGACGAAGGAGACTCATCCACGACCTCCAACACTAAACTCTCCTCCTATTGCGTGCTTCCGCTGTCCATATCGTTCCTTGACAGTGTCGTTTTTTTATCCACAGTTGTGGATAAAAGTGCAACAGAGTGCAAGCATTGTGCAACACGTTTTGTTTACGCTAACAGCAACATGATCAACATGTCATGCTAACCCCGTAATCCCTCATACTCCGTCAGCAACCCCCGCTGCGCTCCAGACCGGCTGCTCAAAGCAAAGCCTACAGCCCCCACTGTGGCTCCCGTTCGCTCCCCTCTGAGTCGCTTGGAGATGGTAGAGAGCATGCGCCAGATGATTAAATTCAAAGCAGCAAAACATGCGGAAATGATCCAGGGTTTCCGAGGATCATTTAAAATAATTACAATCCATTATTTTTTGGGGGATTTTTTCATTAATTTCATAAATTTTTATGGGATTTCGGTGTAACAATCAACATACACTCACCGGCCACTTTATTAGTTTATGCTAGTAACGGGTTGGACCCCCTTTTGCCTTCAGAACTGCCTCAATTCTTCGTGGCATAGATTCAACAAGGTGCTGGAAGCATTCCTCAGGGAGTTTGGTCCATATTGACATGATGGCATCACACAGTTGCCGCAGATTTGTCGGCTGCACATCTATGATGGGAATCTCCCGTTTCACCACATCCCAAAGATGCTCTATTGGATTGAGATCTGGTGACTGTGGAGGCCATTTGAGTACAGTGAACTCATTGTCATGTTCAAGAAACCAGTCTGAGATGATTCCAGCTTTATGACATGGCGCATTATCCTGCTGAAAGTAGCCATCAGAAGTTGGGTACATTGTGGTCATAAAGGGATGGACATGGTCAGCAACAATACTCAGGTAGGCTGTGGCGTTGCAACAATGCTCAATTGGTACCAAGGGGCCCAAAGAGTGCCAAGAAAATATTCCCCACACCATGACACCACCACCACCAGCCTGAACCGTTGATACAAGGCAGGATGAATCCATGCTTTCATGTTGTAGACGCCAAATTCTGACCCTACCATTCGAATGTCGCAGCAGAAATCGAGACTCATCAGACCAGGCAACGTTTTTCCAATCTTCTATCGTCCAATTTCGATGAGCTTGTGCAAATTGTAGCCTCAGTTTCCTGTTCTTAGGTGAAAGGAGTGGCACCCGGTGTGGTCTTCTGCTGCTGTAGCCCATCTGCCTCAAAGTTCGACGTACTGTGCGTTCAGAGATGCTCTTCTGCCCACCTTGGTTGTAACGGGTGGTTATTTGAGTCACTGTTGCCCTTCTATCAGCTCCAACCAGTCTGGCCATTCTCTTCTGACCTCTGGCATCAACAAGGCATTTCCGCCCACAGAACTGCCGCTCACCGGATGTTTTTTCTTTTTCGGACCATTCTGTGTAAACCCTAGAGATGGTTGTGCGTGAAAATCCCAGTAGATCAGCAGTTTCTGAAATACTCAGACCAGCCCTTCTGGCACCAACAATCATGCCACGTTCAAAGTCACTCAAATCACCTTTCTTCCCCATACTGATGCTCGGTTTGAACTGCAGGAGATTGTCTTGACCATGTCTACATGCCTAAATGCACTGAGTTGCCGCCATGTGATTGGCTGCTTAGAAATTAGGTGTTAACGAGCAGTTGGACAGGTGTACCTAATAAAGTGGCCGGTGAGTGTATACGGAACCGAACACCGTATCCACGAAACCATGAATCGAACCGAACCGTGGATTTTGTGAATCGTTCCACCCCTAGTTAGCAACTATGCTTCCGAAAAACCGGCCAAAATGAAACTAGTTTGCGAGACTTCCGCCACAACAACCCCGCACCCTAGATAAACGACAAATCACATTCACTTTATTCACTCGTGTAAAGTCATGCACCACTTTGGAGTTTTCAGAGATGCAAAGGTTGGAATAGCTGCTTCCCTACGACTTTAACATAGATGGCTTCCTTCATACCCCTCTCATAGCTCTCATTTTCTTTGTCCAAAATGTGATCATTCTGGCCTTCAAAAGAGGACCTCGCTTTTCCAGCCAGGCCAACAATTCCCTTTAACGTCCCCCCTTTCAGAGAGATAGACAGGTATGGGGCATTGCAGGCTGACTAAAGAAGCCAAACGACCCCCATTCCAAAGGGGTGGACCCCTTCTTCCGTTTCAATTTCATCTTTTCAGAACAAAAACAAGGTTTCGATGGGCTACTGTATAAAACCTGGAACTCAACACTATTTCTGACACTTTAAATTGAAAAAGCTTCCAAGGTAGGAAATGAAACGTCTTCAAACTTGGAAACAAACTTTTTTTGGCATGCGACTCCAACATTAAAGGACATTTATTAAAATAAATACAAACAGATCTGCTTCACGTTGACAGACTAGATCTTTTATTAATTTTCTCTGATGGCACTGCTTTGAAACAAGGACATGATTGTCAGACATGTGGATAGACGTCATTGTGCAGGACTCTGACAAACACTGCTACTGACATATTTGAAATTGACAAAACATGTTTTCTCCCAAAAACCAACCGATAAAACCTGCGGTGGTGCTTAATGCTTCTTAGTTCAAGGATCACATTGTCATCTAGCATTAATACAAAGTGCGGTGGTTCCTGACAAGTTTAATGATCCAATAAAAAAAACACAACGTGTAAGACATGATGGCGTACTCCTTGATTTACATAAAAGAATACACTTCCTGCTGATGTTTAAGAAGAATCTGCGAGGTGTTAAAATCTTAGTCTTTAGAAAAAAATCAACACAATTATCTTTGATAGACTGATACGAAAACAATTCAATCAACTTTATTTTATTTCTAATATTTAATCTTTGTCATAGTAAACTGAAAAAAAAAAGGAAATGAGTTATGGAGCCGATGAGTAACGAGGACAAGTGGAGGGCAGTGTTGATCATTTACACTACATCTTATTATCCTGTTATTCACTCATCAGGTTCCATCAAACTGTTTAAAATGTTTCCACTAACTGGACGGGCTTCGACGGCCAGGCGGCGGCCATGCAGAGGTTGGAGGAGTGAAGCGTCGCCTCTAAACCAGTCTACGCCTCTTGCAGTCCCGCTCCATCTGGCCCTCTGACTTGTTGGACGGAGCCCCCAGAGGAGACACCTGGTTCAACATGGAGTCATCAGAGGCCTGGCCAAACAGGGCCATGAGCAAAGCGACGCCGAACCCAGTGGCACGCTCCCCCTGGAATACAGGATCTACATTAAGTTTGGTGCTCATCTTCAACGATTAGCTTCTGAGTCTAAAAATGGCTCTGAAGGTTCAGAGAAAGCAGCTGTGTGCTCCGTGTCTGTAACAGCAGCAGCTAGGACCGCCCAGAAGGCAAACAATTTATGACTTTTTGCTTTAGATTTTGAAAAAACAAACAGAAAAAATGTCAAACCTTTACCTAAAAGACAATTCTGCAAGAAAAGTAAAACTCCAAAACATCTTTAAATGTTTGTTTTACGTTGCCAAAAATACACGTCAAAATACAAGGAACCTCTAAAAAGAATGCACTGGCCCTTTAATTAAGCAGGCGGGTATAATTATCAATGGAATGAGTATTTTGAGTCCCTAAAGTTAGAAATGTATATATTATTGCACTTAAAATAAGTAAAAAAAATCGTATTCCATGGCAGATTATTTTACTTACCCGCTTAAATGAAGCACAAATACATTTCAGGACTTTTAATCCCCTTTTTGCATTCTAATCCAGATATTTAGGATTTCTTTTAAATTATGCAAACAACAAAAAACGGTTTACAAAGCTGAACTTTTAGTGTTATTTTTACAGAACTTATAAAGTCCTAATAAAACAACTTGGTCCTTCGTTTGTCTTCTGAAGTATAAATAAAGCAGCTGTGCTGGAAAATTACCTCGAGTTTCAATTTATAGTCTGAGTGATGCATGATTCTCCAACCAGAAAGAAACGGTGTCAACAAAAAACATTACAACATAATACTGCAGCTACTATAAGGGTCAGGATTCTGCCTACAAGCAGCTTTACTTTAAAGATTACTTTAAAGATATTTGCACATGTTAAATGTGCAAACAGGGGCCAATGGGTCCCAATATATCCCAATATATGGATGTGGTTTTTTTCACATGTGCTCAGCCTCCCTCCTCCTCACATGTGGATCCATTTCTGCTCGCCCCCGTCGATCTTCGTCACTTTGAGGGCGTTATCCGCCAGACGAAGCAACCCTCCTGTGATTGGCTGCTTTTCAGGAATTTGTGAATCTTGAATTGTGACACGTTACCAAGGTAACCAGTGTAAACAGTCTTCCCGTTTCCAGCTTTGACTGGAACTTTTTTTGTAGATGTCCTGTAACCCTGTTTAAGGGACATCCTACAGCCAATCAGAATCCAGTATTCATCCACACCATGTTATATATAATAATGAGAAGGAATAAGCTTTCATGGACTTTCAGGGACTCTGCTGTGCATGTGAGATATGAGTGTCTGTATGAAGTAAAGCTGCTCATAGGAGTATTTATTGCGTGCGTAGAGTTCTGGCAGAATCCTGATGCCAGAAGCTTCACCTATGATGTCAGAAATATACGGTATTAAACCACAAATGGTAGAAAGTAAAGGTTTTATATTCAGTCAAGTTTTGGGTCAAACAATCTCTCAGACATAAAAAATAATCAGAAACAGCCAAAACAGATCTGGATTGCAAGATACTAAGTTAAACTGGATCATGATGAAAAATGTAATTGTAAAAAATATGCATAAAAGAAAAATCCCCTTTAAAAAAGTCCCAACGATCACCTGATTTTCTATATATATATATCTGACCAATCAGACGTGCCGGAGGGAAAGCTAAAGTTACTCACCGCATGAACTGGAGAGGCTATGTCAACATGGACCCAGACACCGGGCCAATCGAAGCCCAGGTGGGAACCGATGAAGAGGCCGGCGCAGGAACTCTGGGCGTTCTCCCGATCCTGGAAAAAACAACCACCAAATTCACTTTTTGAAAATGCACATGAGATTTAATTAACAGGCAGCTTTTAATTTCTCTGGTGTTAGAATACTTAAGCTGGGCTTACACTGTGCCATTTTTTGCCCTTTTCAGGGCAACTTTCCAGTCGTACGTAAATTTTCCGATTGGGCCGACCTACAGCGGGATCGTGAGTCGTGTAGTATACACAGGTTAACGAGGGCTGATCAGCCTCTCACGACCACCTTCCAATCATGAATCGTGAGTTCGAGGGAAAATCAAACATGTTTGATTTTCAATCAACAAGGATTCTTCTTCTTCCTCTCAGATGTAAACACAGAAGTACAGCGGGGGTGAGAGTGAAATGGAGTTCTTTCTGTAAAATTGAAAGACTGTAGTAGCCATGTTTGCTCCGCCATGTCTTTGTCCAAATACATCGTCGCCTTTTCTTTTTAGGGCTTTCAGCACAAAATTGTACAAATTGCACTTCTGAAAATACATTAAATAGAAAATTATAACTTACTGTTGAATAAGTGTTTTTAATTAAGAGTAATTTTCATCTGAATGTGCTTTACTGAAGGTATCGAATTTTTTCAAAGAACACTACTGCCACCTACTGGTTTGTGACGTCACGGTGCGGTATTGGCTGTTGATCAAGTCCCAGTGCTGTATCTGGTGTTTGTCACAACGCGCAATTATCCAAGTCATCTTGAAAACATTCTTCTTCCAAATGTTGGCTACATATTACCTGTTTTTTCTCTGGCCAGAAGTTTGATGGCAAATCCTCCCTCTTCAAGTTGATCAGGAATCACTTTTACTCGATGTATTCCAACATCCAGCTGCCATGCACGTGGGCATTGTCAGTTTCACTATAGCTCTGGTGAATTTCAATGATGAAGTCCTCTGGAAATCTTCAATCGGTCTTCGCCAGGTGACGTCAATTGTTTACCTCGGGCGCGGTGCATCGTGGGAAAACCACCATATTAGGTGGAAAGTCGAGATAAGCCACATGCGGCTGTTCTTTCGGCACAATTATTTACTAGAAATGACACGATTGTGTTGTGTGAGAGGCTGCCAGTCCCGGTGTCGTGCCAAGGTAGTTATGCCTGCGAAAATTTGTATCCCCTCGTCGGGAGCGCGCACGGAGTAGGAAGAACAACCCGAGTTAACTCCGCTTCAATTCCAACGTGCAGAACTTGAAATTTGAAAGGTTTTACATGTATGAAAGTTGAGCTTCACTGTTCTATTCTTTACTTTAAATGTTATAGCAGAATATCGCCAGTGATATTGATTTAAAACTAATAATAAAACACAAACGTTTGCTTGAAAGCAGGTCGCTGACAGCAGTGTCTACTCCTCCCTCTGAAAGCAAACAGATCCTTGTTCTTTTCCACACGTTCCTTGAAAAAAACTCTCATTGTTTCACAGTGTCCAAATGTTCTCATCCCATTGAAAACTGTTGTAAACCATATACTTGTAATAAAAATGAAATAGAAAATGGAGTGCACGAGTAATCATTAAAGACTATATGCAGAAGGAAAATAATTTTTTTCTGGTTGAAATTTAGTACTTCAAATCTATATTTGTGTTTATAGTAATGTACAATTTATCTATGTTGTACTATCCTTAATAAACAGTTTGTGTTCTAACATCAGCCGTTTTATTTCATCCCATATTGTCAGAACTGGCAATATGGGATGAAATAAAACCTGCTGTAATCTGTTCCCCCTGTCTAAATCAGGCAAAAAATGTCTCAGCTTTTTCATTTTTGGCTTATAAGCATCTTTTATGATGACAACTAACCCCTGAAACTTTGGATGTGATTGACCTTTATTTCTTAAAGTTATAAGGGGGGAACAGATTATAGCAGACCACCTGCTATAGTCTGTTCCCCCTGTCTAAATCAGGCAAAAAAGGCCCCAGCTTTTTCATTTCTGGCTTATAAGCATCTTTTATGATGACAACTAACCCCTGAAACTTTGGAGTTGATTGATCTTTATTTCTTAAAGTTATAAGGGGGGAACAGATTATAGCAGACCACCTGCTATAGTCTGTTCCCCCTGTCTAAATCAGGCAAAAAAGGCCCCAGCTTTTTCATTTCTGGCTTATAAGCATCTTTTATGATGACAACTAACCCCTGAAACTTTGGAGTTGATTGATCTTTATTTCTTAAAGTTATAAGGGGGGAACAGATTATAGCAGACCACCTGCTATAGTCTGTTCCCCCTGTCTAAATCAGGCAAAAAAGGCCCCAGCTTTTTCATTTCTGGCTTATAAGCATCTTTTATGATGACAACTAACCCCTGAAACTTTGGAGTTGATTGACCTTTATTTCTTAAAGTTATAAGGGGAACAAATTATAGCAGGTCACCTGCCATAATCTGCTCCCCCTGTCTAAATCAAACAAAAAAGGAGCCATTTGTGAACTGTCCGTGTGCTTCCAGTGACTTATATGCTTTGAATTCCTCGCAAGTGTAGGCACTGACGCCAAACACTAGGTAGTTTGTTATGTCCACTGATGAGGTCGGAGGCAGTGAAGTGAAGTCGGAGCTCCAGTCTTTGCTGCGGAGATCATAAGGATCTATGCCGTTAATATCCGACAGTTTCGATAAGTAACGGTCCCTGGCCTCGTTATTAAGTTTTTGCCGGTACGGTAATTACGCATTCTGCCTACTTTTTTCCATTTAGTCAGAGAAACAAACTCAATCCTTTAGTCCTTCGTTTAGCTATGCTGCCTTCTCCACCTAAAATGGCGTCTTAGCAACAAATGTCACGTGACTGGCGGAGACCGATAATTGTTGTTGATTGCAGATGTGTCTAGTAGTTCCCATTGATTTTGCTTGTAAAGCGGGAAGAATGGCGCTAGGCTTACCGCACCGTGACGTCACTGCTGGAAGATGTCGGGGGAGGTGTTACTATGTTTGGGCAAAAATGGCCTCTTGGACTAAGTGATATGAAAATGATTTTTACATTCTTTTTTTTTACTGATTAATGCTAAATTCATTAAATCACGGCAAACATATTAGTTTTAGGTATAAATAATGATCCATTGGTTATTCCTTGCTTGCCGGGCTTCTCCTTTAAAGTAACGGGTGAATGTAAACGTTTAGCTCAATGTGCTCAAACAGTGATTGGATCCTAAGATCCTCTTAGATCCTTCCAGCAGCAGACGGACCAAACTGAGATCCACCATAAGCGCTTTGTCACTTACAGCCACAGAGTTCTTCATGTCTGCCACAGCTGAGGTGAACTCGCTGAAGTGCAGCTCAGGACAGTAAACGAGCGGGTGGGCCAGATCGCCGCTGCTCCGCCCAGCGCGCACACACGCAACCTCCCACTGCTCGCTGTTGGTCATGACTGCAGCATGGTACTTCCCCGTAGAGATTCCCTGAACAGAAAGAAGGCTGTAAATACAGAAAGTTGGAGCACCTGCACCTTGATCGTGAATTAAAGAGAGACCTGAGCTCCTGTGAGAGTTGCCATGTCCAGAATGATGTCGGCGGACAGATCTTTGGAGGCGTACACCACACCGTCTGCCAGCACCAGCCTGCCCTCAGCATCAGTGTTGTTGATCTCCACCGTCCTTCAGACATAAACACCAGGTCACGCACACGTACGGCTGGGAAAGCAACATTAAATGCATCCGTGACGAAAATGAAACGGGAATCTGAAACCGGAGGACTAAGATGGACATGAAAGGAAGAAATACTGAATGGTTTTAAAAGAGTCTCACTTTCCAGAGTAGAGTGTGTGGATGTCATCAGGGCGGGTGGCCGTGGGTCCCACAGAGTTCTCAGCAAGACAGAACACAGCGTGGAGGTTATCCTTAAAGCCCTGAGGGCGATAACAGAGACAGGAGGATTGTAGACGGAGATTCAATTCATTTAGGTTTATATATAGAGCCCCAATTCATTACACATGTCATCTCAAGGCACTTTACAGTTCACCAGATCATCCAGTCAGATTTATGCAGTTTTCTACCTAAGGAAAACCAGTTGATTGCATCGACTCATTGACTCGAAGGCAATCCCTCACACTAAGCATGCTTGTAGCGACAGTGGAGATGAAAAACTCCCTTTTAACAGGAAGAAACCTCCAGCAGAGCCAGGCTCAGTGTGAGCGGCCATCTGCTGAGGCCCACTGGGGTTCAAGGAGACAGAAGCAGAGATACAAAAGGTAACTGTAAAAGGCGGCCCCATCCAGGAAACACACAGCCAGGCAGACGAGCTCCGAGCCAGCTCCCATGCCAGAGGACGAAGAGAGCACATCCAGTTAGTCACAGTCAGAGAAACAGGACTACACTGGAAAAACAGCCCGATCTCCAGCATCTATAAACAAAGGTGTTGATGGCAGCAGCACAGCTGATATTTCTCTCCAGGATGGAGTCACAGCCAAACAGGAATAGACCAGATGAAGCTACTATGAGAAAAAGCAGAGAGAGCAGAACGTTAGAGATTGAACTAACAGATTCTGCAGAGTGGGAGAATAGAGATAGAATGAAGCAGAATGATGAAAAAAATGGTCCCTATGTCCACCAGCAGTCTAAGACTATAGAGTTATATAGAGATCAAACACATTTGAGTATAAGCCCCCCCCCCCGGCTGCTGCCTCACCTGTTTGATGGTGGCCTTAAAAGCTCCTAAAATAGCGGCGGCTCCACCACAGTCTCTCTTCATCCCGGGCATCGTAGTCTGACGACAATGAAAGAAAAAAAGATTTCAAACACTAACATCAGTTCATCTAGCTTCACTCGTCTTATTGTTACGCTCTACTGATGGTTCTGGGTTTACTGCTCACCTTCCCCTTGATGCTGAGTCCACCGGTGTCGTACACAATGCCTTTTCCCACCCAGGCGATGTTCTGTGTCGCCCCGTCAGGAGTGTGGCTCAACACTGCTAATGCAGGAGGATGTACCGCTGCCTTTCCGACACCGTAGATACCTGAGAGGTGGAAAAAGAGACAGCAGATGATTAACTGACAGATTAGAGGAACAGATTGGAAGAAGAGCTCCAAATAAAGAACCATAAATGGACAATTGAGGGGAAGGACTGATTTAGACAACAAGGCAGGGATGTATTGAATCAAAAGCACATCTAAAAAATGCAGGATATCTGCCCTTAGGAACTGAAATAATTCACCCCTGCAATAAAGAGAGTTCTTCCTGATAAGCAAACTCAACTTGAACTAGAAAATATTTTCATGTCTTATTATTCCAGCTTTTGAATCTGTATGAATCCTGCAGTCCTCCATATTGGCCCCCTCCTGATAGCAATGTGGCTCTGTTTGTTTTTAATCATCTCGTGCAAAAACAATATTAAAAGCGACAACAAACGAACTCATCTGATATTCCAAACATGCTGCACTGGAAATATAACAATATAAACAATGGCTGCTTCTCCATCAGCGTTCAGCAGCAGCTGGTGGGTGAAATTTACTGATCCATCTTTAATGGGTTTTAAAAATGTGCCCAAACCAAACAAAACCCTCCTCCCTTCCTCAATAGAACACCAACCGATTGAAGCCATGATTATCTGCCCATTTAAAACCAAAACTGTTGCGTGAATCGTTTTTATAAAGGAAATATTTCTGAAAAGTTAAATTCGAGGAGTTTAATAAACATGGTAAAATAACTGTCATAAATTCACACAGGATTGTGTTATGGGCATCTTAGGTCTTTCTGAGGCTTTGATTTTGTTCAATTTGATATCGAAACAATATCAATGATATACGTTTTGGCCAAATGCAGTAACCCTGTATAATAACCCTGCTTTTAAGAAAAAAAAAAAAGCAACTATCATTTACATAAACATACACATATATATATATATATATATATATATATATATATATATATATATATATATAAGGGATGCACGATATTGGGATTTTGGCCGATATTCGATATGCCGATATTTTAAAACTCATGAAGCCGATAACCGATATCGATACCGATGTTAAAGCTGGACAAAAGTAAGTAGTCATTTCTGACACTTTGAAAAATAATATACTCAAATATATTTTCATATGCTGATCTCAAATTGATTTTTAAAAACGCGGTATCGATCTATTTTACTTTCAAAATCTCGTGAAATTTCATCGTTCTGTTACAAACTCTCGTGATATTTTGCAAATTCTTGTGAGATTTTGTTAGTAAAATAGATCGATACCGCGTCAATATATCAACATATAAAAATATGGCAAAATTTCGTGAATTTTGGGGGATTTCGTAGCATAACGATGACATATAGCAATATTTCATTAGTAAAAGAGACTGATATGGTGTTTTTAAATGGCAATATATCAATTCAGCATATGAAGATATTGTGATATTTTAATGTATATTTTTTCCCTCGTCTTTAGAAGTTTTTAAGTCTGTAAAAAAGAGGATTTTAAGGAAGAAGAAGAAATATTTTTTTTTTAGACTTTAGAATCTCAGAAGCTGATCAAATATCGGGTTAAATATCGGTGTGGTGGCCGATGTCCGATATTCAGTTTTAAGGCCGATACCGATAGGGGGCCGATTATATCCCTAATATATAATATATATATATATATATGGACGCAATGCACATAATGGATATACTATGTATGTCCAATGCACCTTTCCTTCCTTTGGCACCTTCTTCTTTATGACTATTTGAGCTAATGTAACAAGTACATTTTCAACACTGTGAGATCAATAAAGTCAAATCAATCAAATGAGCCAGCCCCACTGCTTCCACAGCGTGCAGCAGCCTCTCCGCATATACCCTTTCCCAGATATTCTATTAAGTATAAGAAAATGGAATAATAATTTTTTTGTTTTACTTTATATTCGCTTTTCTCCGAGGGAGAAGTTAAAATATTGTAATTTGAATGAAGCATTTTTAGTTTTCTCTGTATAAAGAAAAAAAAAGGTTGCCATGGTATTGACCTCCTTCCTGTCTCAGCTACCTGGAGGCAGCCATTACAAACCAGCACAGGGTTGGCTAGGCTAGGAGCTTAAAAAGTCGTCTTATTGCAGCAATGGACAGAATACACTGTTCATTTATTTATTAACTTTTTTTTTTTTTTGCATACCTGCTGAGAGACAAAAATAAACCCAGATATCCATCTGAATTTCAAAGTGACAAGGACATGTTGGAGCATAGCAAACTGCTAAGCTAATATACGCTGTAGTAAAGGTGGACCTACCGGTAAAGTTTTCTTTTAAGATGAGTCAGCCCCCCAAAAAATAAAGAAGTTTACACATTCAGATAAAAGCAGGTTGTCTACAACCATTGGTAAACAATAAAAAAACAAAAACAAAAGCTAACAAAACTAGCTGAATACCGTTAAGGGAATCTTTCTGTCTCCAGCTTTGCTCCGCCCACATCACAATGTTTACCACATTAGATCCATTAAAAGGTTACTGAGTATTTTACTTTGGTCTAACTTGAAAGTTCAGCGTAGTGTGATGCAATAACTGTCAATGAACACATAGGTAATAGTAGAGGTATAAGGGAAAAAAATAGATTCTGTAAAATATCAGCATATTTTATTAGATGAAATTGGTACAGACTTAAAATCCATCAGAAAGGATCTAAAATGTAAATTTATAGACCTCCTTTACATTGTCATTCTTTTATAAAACACTTAAACCACCAGCTATAGACAGCAGCATAGCAGCAAAGATTCTATTTAGCAGCTCTGCACCAGGAAAGCAACCGGTTCTCATGCCGTTATATATCTTTGTTAATGTTATGGAACATAGATCATATCTTTAGACGTGTCATGATGCGCAGCATAATGCCAAATTCTAGTGAATTCAGACCCCAAAATCAACCCCCCCCCCCCCCTTTTTTTTTTTTACGTTCCCAGCAAGGAAAGTAACAGAACTTTTAATAAGCAGAGAAGAGCGCAGACGCAGCAGATGCTGTACCTCCAAATCCTCTTTGCTTCAGTTCCTCTCCTCGAATGATAACTGGAGTAATTCCTAGGTCACTTCCCACAGCTTTTATTTCCTGCAACACAAACAGAAACTTAATGCAGTGAAATCTTTCAGACATTTTTAGATTCAGAACCTTTCATGTTAACCAGCTAATGTTGCTTATGATTCAAACAATCAGTGAGAGGCTTTGGAAACTCTATGAACTTTACTCATAGTGCACACAATCACTTACATCCAGGAAGTGGTCTGTGTTCATCTCGTTGCACGGAGTGTCAACAATGCGAGCCGCCAACCGTACCCCATCAGCAGCATTGGAAAGACACTGGAGAAAAAAAAAAAGGAAAACAAAACCTATGTGAACATTCAGAACGTGAAATTATGTGATTAAAAGTCAGAAAACTAAACAGATTGGGCTCAAAGAGCGGTACCCCCATTTCAGCGTCCTCCAGAGGACTGCCATCAACGACCACAAACTCCACCGTCACATGCTTCTTCTCCGTCCTGCGAGAGGCTGCAGAGCGACGGGTGAAGAGGGGGAAGGCCCTGGCGATGGCGCAAGCCGAGGCGAACACATCAGAGCGCTCACACACCACCTGCATATGGAAAAACACGTCCGTTAGTTTCCTGATATCACTTTTCATTTCACAACCAGGATCATGGTAAATTAAGGCAGACATTTCCACCAAGAAGGGTGAAGAGACTGACCACAATGCAGCGGTTGTTCCCTCCAGGAAGGCAGGAGCGGATCAGACGGAACAAAAAGTGGGCGGAGGCCGGGCTGTTATGTCTGCTGACGCGTGACGGAAGAGCAGCCACCACGGCTTGGTTCAGGTAGAGCGGGCAGCTGTCCGTGGGTTTCGGGTTCAGAGCACCGAGAGCTGCCTTCCAGGTCTGAAAAAAAAACAAAGAAACCAAGATGAAAACTTTTCTATTGTAAAAAAAAAAAGAAAGAAAACAGACACAGTAAATGGACATTTATGTTTTTTGCAATATTAGCACTGGGCAGTCAATTGCATTTAAATATAATCGCAATTTAACAAATTTTCAAACCACAGAGGAACTCAATTTTAATCACACTTTGTTCATCTAGAGCGAGACACTGATTTTCTTGCTCCAGTCCCTCAGGTAAAACTAGGGCTGGGCGATATAGAAAAAAAGCTTATCGATAAAAAAAAATGCATATTGATCGATATCGATAATTATTGAAAAGATTTGAAACCATATTTTATGTGCAGCTCTGCCTGGACTTTTTATAATATTGCTAAATGATTTAATTTTAATAAAAAACACAAACACAGACTTCTAATTAAATCTTTATTTAATCAACTTTTTTAACCATAACAATTGTTTTAAAGAAAAATAACTTAAGAGACCTGGGTTATGTTATTAAATATTGACAAAGAATAAACTAAAGTGACCAGAAAAGTGACCAAAATAAATATAACAAATAAATAAATGCCCCCCCACCGCCGCCCCCGTTTCCTGCTTTAACCTGAGTTATTACTTTGAAGTTTCTGGCCCCTCAGCATTTTTATCTCAATTGTTAGAACTACGTGGGAAACTGCCCAGAACTGAAAATATATATACATTTTCCGAAGATTCCTCGGAGGAGAACCGCGCGGGGGCCTACACAGCTCTCACTCCTGCGGCTGTGAGCGGCTGAGATGATAAAAAAAAAAAAAAAAAAGTTGGTTGCGTTATCAGACTTCGTTTTCACTGGTTCCCGACACATTTTCCAGATGACTGTGGTTTGTTTTTGGTCCGACTTGCCATGACCGAAATACTGCCAGACTGCCGAACTACAAAAACCTTTCTTTGAAACAATTTCCTCCGCCTCTCCTTGCTGCACAGCTTCATGTGCTCTGTGTTGTGGTTTGAGAGGGCGGCGCTTGGTGACGTCGTGCCTGGGTCCGCGATTGTGATTGGTTGGGAGGAAGCAGTGACTAGCATAAACCTACATGCTAGGCTACAATGAGAAGGAAGGAAAACTGCGTTTCTTTTTTTATCGAACTTTTATCGACCCTCTTTTTTTCTATTGCGCCACACGTCTATCGATCGATATATATCGTTATTGAATTATCGCCCAGCCCTAGGTAAAACGCTTGAAGGGAGCTTATCTCCACACAGAAAGGTAGAGAAAGTTGTAGCTAGAACTCAGCTCCATGCTTGCAAGCAGAAGTTTTCACACAAAGGTTACAGTAAAGTCCTGCAGCAGTGGACTCTGGACAAGCAAGCAAGCTTGGGGTTCGGTGCAAAGGAAAATCAAACTGCTATATTGGTTAAAAATAATAAAACATTTGATTTTTGGCCAAATCTTTCAGCCCAACATGTTATTTAAAACAATATGCTTTAGCATTTTTTCAATAAGGACAAGTCAAGGTTAAAACCTTTATATAACACCTGGTCTTCCTGATATTCAGCCAATGAAAGCAGCCCTTTGGTACAAACTATCACTTATTAAACTTTAACAGACCCCTGCTTAAGGAGTGCAGCTAAGCCGATTAGTTTAACTACAAAAGAGATTTGAACGACTTTCTTCACATAAAATACTTGATACATAAACAAAGCAAAGGGTGTTTCTGGAGAAAAACAGACAGTCGGAAAAAATCATCATCTGTCAAACTAAAGGTTAATAAACAGCCAACCTCACTAGCCTATGTCAGAATATAAAACAATGGCTCCAGAACTGATCATTTCAGCACAGGACTCAACCGATACGGGTTTTTAATACTGATACCGATTATTCTGACATCAGTTTAACCAATCCCTGATATGTGCAGCTGATATTGAAGTGTAATTTTTCTGAGGTGCACAACAAAGGTGCAGAACCTCTGCGCCGGGGACATGGTCGCGCACAGAGACAGATTTGACGGTTGCAGAGGCTATGGACAACTACGACAAAAGCTTAATCAAAGGGGTTCGGAAGTAAAATCCCTTGTACGACGCCTCAGACAAATTATAGAAAGATACCAAGGTCTCTGTCAAAACCACGTTCTCGTGACGATCCGCCGAAGTTCTCGTGAGTTCTCCAATAGGCTCCCCCTTGCGCCTATGTGGGAAACTGCTGTGCATCCCTAGAAATTCCAGACCGACGGTGCAGAAGCATACCAGCAAAACATTTGATGTGTGCGGTTGCAGACGTCTAATCTGCCTGTTTGAATCCACAGCCAAAACGCTTCTGGTTTCCTTATTTTCAAGGACTTGGAAGGATCCAGTCCAGATAGACTGGCTCTATTCATAGTTTTCGACGGTGAGAGGAAGCCGGAGTACCTGGAGAGAACCCATGTATGCTCAGGGAGAACATGCAAACTCCATGCAGAAAGACCGGGAATCGAATCCGGAACCTTCTTGCTGCAAGGCAACAGTGCTACACACTTTATTAAACATCAATATTTTAAAGCAACAAAACAATAAATCTGGCAGCACAAACGTTTTCTTTAATTGAATAATGAAATGTTCCACTTAAGTTCCAATTTGCATGTTTTCTAAACAAAAACAAGTATTTGTTGGGCTACTGTATAAAACCTCAAACTCAACGCCATTTCTGACATTTTCAATTGAAAAAGCTTCCTGGATGGGAAGCGAAACCTCTTCAAACTGGGAAACAAAAGTCCAGGGGATTGTTTTCTTTTTTCTTTATGACCTGGATGACTAAGAACCTTCACCAGCTTAATTATATCAATCACAAATACCGAGGAAGGATCCATTATAAACTAATCAAAATTATTATCTACTTTTTTAAACAATCAGTTTACAATTAGATATAAATACTGAACTTTAAAGAAAAACTCATAAGAACAAATCTTAACACAACTAATCACTTAAAAAAAGGCAAACTAAGAAACAGAAAGTAGAACTTTAACATTGACAGCAGAATTATATTTCCACAGTAAAGTTTTACACAGCAAACAAATTAAACGTGTAGATAAGCTTATACTCAGATTTAAAGGTGGTTTGATCTTTTTTTTTTGTTTATTTGTGTTAAGACACACTAATAAGACTAACAACCCATTAAATAACAGAAAAAAACAAACTTAAAGTCAATATATTGTCCCAGTTTAACATCAGGTAGTCTAGTAGTAAACTGTAACTGAACTTTATTAACTCCCTGAGAGTGTTAGCTTAGCATTGTGCTAACACTAGCAAATGTAGCATCCACTCACCTCTTTGCTAACAGCCGGCTGCAGTTTTCCTTTGATTTGGCTCCAGCAGACGTCCTGCAGGTGGTTCTGCTGACCCAGAATCAACACAGGCCGACTCTGAGGCTCAGAGTCCCCGGCAGAAACCTTGAACTCCAGCACCACGTTCGCCATTTCTGCGCTTCAGGAACCTCCTTCCCTTCCACGGACGGACGGGGCTTCGCTGCTGGTTAACCCTGTGCTTCATTCACGGTCAGAACCAGGAACTCGAAACGTTCTCTTCGGCAAAAAAAAGGGGGGAAAGAAAGAAATTAAAGGAAAAGGCTGGATTAGAGGTATACTAAATGTGTTCTCGGTTAATTCGCAATTCAGACCGATAAAGTTGAGTGTGGAAAAATATAAAAAAGTAGAAGTGTAAAGTAAAAAAAAAGATAAAAGCAAAATTATGCCATTAGTTAGCCATATAAAGTTAAAAAAAAAATAAACTTTATGACCATTAAAACTCTAATCGTTTATTCGTTTAAATTCCACACAAAAACGTTTTCTTAGTAAAACAATAAAAAAAAAAACAATGTATTTGTGATTTCCTACTTTACATTTTACCCTGAACATATAGTACGGATGATGATGGAAGCCGGGAAGGGACAAATCAGTGCACTAAGCCCTGACATGTATAGCTGCGAAGTAGTAGTAATAGCCTTCTGAGAATTTTTATATTTTTTTTAATTTTTACTTTATTTTACTGGATCTTATATGATTAATTAGAAAGGAAGCAAATACTAAGGAAGTGAAATATTATATATATATATATATATATATATATATATATATATATATATATATATATATATATATATATATATGAATAATTTAACAGCAGTTTTTTTCTTTGTTCTGTGTGCTGTATCCGCCATGAGTAAACTTCACTGAAAAAACACTTTTGTAACCAAGAATGAACCATTTACTCTTATGTTGAGACTTCTTGTTTAAACGCGAGCTTTGTTTTGATGTTATTCTATTATCTGCTAGTTTGTACTATTTAACAGTAAAGATAATCTAGAGAAAACATATGTTGTCACTCTAAGGGCCGGATCTATCAAAGGTTTGAAACGAAGTCATTTAGAATGTTTTTAGAGCATAAACAGTAGTGTATAGGATTTCCTAAAAAGCGCGTTCACGACGCTACGGAAACCGCGGCAGACCAAACCAGATGAAATTGCGCATTCAGCTCGGCAAATAACTCATGCTCTTCCTCAACACTGAAGTCCTCAGACATTTTTCTTTCGTTGTTTCTTTCTTTGCACAGGTAAACAGCAAATTTCTTCTTCTACGCTTGCATTATCAAGAGCAGACGCTGAATGCGCACTTTCATCTGGTTTGGTCTGCCGCAGTTTCAATAGACTCGTGAACTCGCAGGCGCGCGCTTTTAGGAAATCCTATACCCTACTGTTTAGGCTCTAAAAACATTCTAAATGACTTTGTTTCGAGTAAATTATGGACGCTACCCACTCAGGACACTTGGAATACATTGGACGAGCAGTATGGAGGAATATTGACACGTTTTTTGTGGACTTTTATGGACCTTTCTGCCTCGGGCACCATAGACCTCCATTATTTGAATGTCAGCAGACAGCAAGAAGCCTCCCAGATCTCCAGATGCATTTGAGATATCAAAAAAGTACTCCAGAGTGTTGTAGAAAATGAAGGCTAATCATATTTTGGGTGTACTATTCCTTTAATTTAGCACTCGCAAAGTGATTTATTAAACCTGAAAACAATTTTGCTAACGGTATCTGACTCTATATTTAACACGTTTCAAAAGAAGGTGCAAATGGTCTGTATGCGTAATTGCGCACACATGGCAGCGGTTATTGTCGCAAGAAGGAGACATGGAAATGAAGCAAGGAGAGGCAGAAAACGCATTTTTTCACTCTGTGTGAATAATTTTGGAATGAACGAGGAAACGATCATCAAAACATATCGTTTATCCAGCATTGCCATTTTGGAGCAGTTGGGGGAACTCCGAATGGATTTGGAGCCAGCCACAAGGAGGACCCACGCAATACCAGATATCACAAAACTCCTTGCAACATTCCACTTTTTTGCATCTGGGATCTCCCAATCTCGTTTTTCAGAAGTGCTGTCCGACGTTCTAAATGCCATGTCGCCCTGACGCCCTACCGGAGAACCCCGACCTCCCTGCGCCTGTGGAGCAACATGCCAATGCTGCGGGGATGCATACGCGCAGTAATCTCATCCACAGTCACTTCTTGTGAGCCATTTGGTATATGCATTTTTCTACAGGCCAATACAAAACACCTGTGTTTTTTTTTTTCCTTTTACTGCAGTGAAATAGAAATTCAGCCACATACCACCTTAGGGAATAAAGGTTGCCATATATATATATATATTTTTTTTTTTTTCTTTTGGAGGGGGTGGGGGTGTCACTGTAAGATTAAAATGTCTTAATGCACTAGTTTGCACAAACTACAAACTACTTTGCCGCAAACCACAAAATGCGCAAAACCATCATTTAAATAGGGCGTCTCCAACAGTTTTGCACCTGCCACCAGTTACGCAATCACTCTTGTTAAATCACCCGCAAACCATGGTTCAGCCCCTCGCGCAAACTTCCAGTTTGCGAGCGCAAATTACTGCACGCAAAATTGGATCTTGATAAATCCGGCCCTAAGTCTGTTGTTTACACAGCCTGTATAAGCTTTACCTACCTGAACCCCAGTCGGCCTTGGCAGGTGGCCGCTCACTGAGCCTGGTTCTGCTGGATGTTTCTTCCTGTTTAAAAGGAGTTTTTCCTTTCCACTGTCACTACAAGCATGCTTAGTGTGAGGGATTACCTTTGAGTCAATGAATCGATGCAATCACCATGTTTTCCTTAGATAGAAAAGTTTGAATCAATTTTACTGTACAATCTAGTGAACTGTAAAGTGCCTTGAGATATTGTATCAAACTTAATATGTTAAACTTAATATAAAATCTGTCCAAAAAATATTTGAAAAGAGCAAAGTTACCCTGGACATCTTTTTTTTTTTAAGCTTAAAACGTTTTTAAAAGGTTACATGTCTGCACTGCAAAAATCATCCAAAAATGAGAAAAAATGTCTTAAATTAAGTGTATTTACCATTAATTTGAGTAGGTAAATAAGATAATTTGCCAATGGAATTAGTATTTTTAGTCTTAAAATAAGATAATTAGATAATATTCACTTGAAATAAAACAATGCAATTGTGTTTATTTTAAATGTAAATTGGCTTGTTCCATTGGCAAAGTGTCTCATCTACCTCCTCAATTCAAGAAAAAATGCACTTATTGCAAGAAAAAATTACTTATTTAGATTTCAATTTTTTGCAGTGTGGACTTCGTTTTTTAAATTTAATTTACAGAACATGCTTTTTACTTGGAAACAAAATTGAACAAAATTTACTCAATAACCACAGGACTAACACCTAATCTCTGAACAGCAGTTGTCCAGAGAATAGAAATACACCAGAAGCTGTAATTGCGTTGAAAGTTGGTCCAACAAAGTACAAATGCACAGAAATGCATAATTTTCATTCTATTTTATAACTATCCTGTTGTCGAGGTTAGGATGTCATTTAATATCCTAATAAAATACATAGAAATCTTCATGTGCGAGGCGCATACACAGATGTGTTGAGGAATAAACCATTCAGCTACACAAAATAACTGTACAAAAGTTATTTATTTTTACTGTCTTATAAGAGATAATACTGATTCCTGCATTTAAATTATTAGAAGTTAAAACCTCATTAAGATGAACTAAAAATATCAATACAAATGAAAATATGTTTCAGCCTTGAATGAGAAGGAATAGCTTTATTAACAGATGGCAGGTAGGTAAAGCGATTTGTGCAAATGTTTAAAGCCACAGAGGTATTACTGAGTGAAAACAGTTGTTTTCGATGAACAGAGCAATGGCTGTTTGATTTGGAACCATAAGTTGTAGAAAAATAAAGCGGCAATAAACAGCGGAGGAGCTAAAAAAAAAAAAAAAAAAAAAAAAAGGAAAAGAGACGGCCGAAAAATAATCATGATACCCTGAGTTTGTCTTTAGTGTCCCGGGAAAAAAGAAAAAAAAATCTCCCTTTATTTCAAAAAGATAATATAATGAATTGCAGAAACAACTGCCTGATGAGGCTTTAAAATGCAATTACGGAAACAAAATAAGGTCACAAAGATAAATAATTAAATGTCTTGATTTTAGTGTCAAAATCCGTTTCATTTTATTTTGGTCTTGAACCAGCCAAAAAAAAAAAAAAAAAAGCAGGACACTCATCTTTTTAAACTTTGAGTTTAGAATTTAACGGAAATAAATGTATCTAAAATATTAAAGAATAGAAAAGAAATACTTTTTATTGTGAATAAATTTTGCAATATTAAAATCTGAAAATAATAATCAGCTTGTTATTGCACCTTCAGAGCAGAATCACCTGAGGTTATTCTTCATAGCTGAGTTTTCCAGATAATGCATGTGAAACATGACCTTCAATTCAGGATATTTATAAATACACGTGTAAACATCTTTTTTAAACGAAATGTTATAAATGATCATTTATAGAAATAATAATTACATTACAGCTACTCACAAAACGATAGGAAAATAGTCTTATTGCTTGCATAAAAAGGTTTACAGCACCTATAAGTTCTTATGAAATAGTAATTAAAGGCATTTTTAAAACAAACTCACACAACAAAACACCCACACATTATTGCAAAGCTGATGAAAAACATGTAAAATTAAGGAAATTCGCTAAATGTTACTATAATTTACCAAAAGAAAACAAAAAAGCCCGACCATTGGCATATAGGATTTTATCTGAGAGGCCATGCAGGATTTAACAGACAGAATAGAGGGAAGGATAGAAGAAAAAAGGAAGGAAGGACTTAAGAGGAAAGGAAGGAAGGACGGAAGGACTTAAGAGGAAAGGAAGGAAGGAAGGACGGAAGGACTTAAGAGGAAAGGAAGGAAGGAAGGAAGGAAGGAAGGACTTAAGAGCGAGGGAGGGAGGGAAGGACTTAAGAGCGAGGGAAGGAAGGAAGGAAGGAAGGAAGGACTTAAGAGCGAGGGAGGGAGGGAAGGAAGGACTTAAGAGCGAGGGAAGGAAGGAAGGACTTAAGAGCGAGGGAGGGAGGGAAGGACTTAAGAGCGAAGGAAGGAAGGACTTAAGAGAGAGGGAGGGAAGGAAGGAAGGAATTAAGAG